ATATTTTCTCCACTTGATGATGACTGTCTTCACTGTGTTCCATGGTATATCTAATGTCTTGGAAATTCTTTTGTACCCTTCTCCTGACTGATACCTTTTAACAATGAGATCCCTCTGATGGTTCGGAAGCGCTCTGCGGACCATGGCCTTTTCTGTAGGATGCGACTAAGAAAATGTCAGGAAAGACCTTTTAGAACAGCTGAACTTTATTTGGGGTTAATCAGAGGCACTTTAAATGATGGCAGGTGTGTACTGACTCCTATTTAACATGATTTTGAATGTGATTGCTTAATTCTGAACACAGCTACATCCCCAGTTATTAGAGGGTGTGCACACTTATGCAACCACATTATTTTAGTTTTTATGTTTACTTCCCCCCTAAAAGATTTCAGTTTGTTTTTCAATTCAGTTGTACAGTTTATAGGTCACATTAAAGTTCTGAAATTATTTATCTTTGTCTCAGAAACCTGACATTTTAACAGGGGTGTGTAGATTTTTTATATCCACTGTATTTATAAGCTTTTGTATAATATAATAATATTCATATAATAACATTATGAGATTTTATATATATACACACATTTACATACACACAGTATAGGCTTACAGTGCTCAGCATAAATGAGTACACCCCAACAGATTTGTCAGAAAACCTTTCCTTTCAGAATCAACATTTTCTATGGGACACTATACTACAAAATTCTCCCACAAATGCCGGCCTTTGATTGCAAACAAGATTTCTTTATTTGCACACACAAAAAAGTATTCTTCCTAACAGATTCATTCAAGACTGTGTTGCAAAAATGAATACACCCCAATGGAAGTCTTAGGAGCAAAGCTAAATTTTAGAAAACAAAATCCTAATTAACAAGAATTCAACTCCAGGTGAGTCTAATTATTCATTAACCACTTGCCGACCGCGCATAGCCGAATGACGGCTTCACCGCGGCCGGCCAGTTCTGAGTGGACGTCATATGACGTCCTCCCAGAACGCGCTCTCCTGCGCGCCCCAGGGGGCGCGCACCCGGCGATCTCCGTGATCGCTGTGTCCTACGGACACAGCTGATCATGAGATGTGGTGAAAGGCCGATCCCACCGGCCTTTTACCACGTGATCAGCGGTGTCCAATGACACGCTGATCACAGGAAAATGCAAGTGCCGGTTCTCGGCTGCACTTTCCTCACGCTGTCAGATCGTGAGGAAAGTACTGCCGAGAACCGGCAGTTGTCAGAGCGGGGATCGGCACCGATCATCAGGGCACTGATGATCAGTGCCCTGATGATCGGTGCCCAGCAGTGACACCCGCAAGTTCCGATCAGCTGTGCGCCCACTAGCCCCGCCCACCCATTCCCAGCAGTGCCCCCACCTGTGCCCAGCAGTGCCCCCACCTGTGCCCAGCAGTGCCCCCACCTGTGCCACTCTGCAGTGCCACCTACCTGTGCCCAGCAGTGCCACCTACATGTGCCCAGCAGTGCCACCCACCTGTGCCCACCCACCTGTGCCCACCAGTGCCACCCACCTGTGCCCACCAGTGCCACCCACCTGTGCCCACCCACCAGTGCTGTCCACCAGTGCCACCCACCAGTGCCACCCACCAGTGCTGCCAGTCAGTGCCACCAGTCAGTGCCCAGGGGTTGTGCCAGTCAGTGCCGCCAGTCAGTGCCCAGAAGTGATGCCAGTCAGTGCCGTCTATCAGTACCCATCATCAGTGTCACCTATCAGTGCCGCCTATCAGTGCTGCATATCAGTGCCGCCTATCCGTGACCCCTAATTAGTGCTGTCTATCAGTGCCGCCTATCCGTGCCACCTCATTAGTACTGCCTATCAGTGCCCTTTAGTGCTGCCTATCAGTGCCCATCAGTGCCGCCTATCAGTGCCCATCAGTGCCGCCTATCAGTGCCCATCAGTGCCGCCTCATCAACGCAAATCAGTGAAGGAGAAAAAATACCTGTTTGAAAAATTTTATAAAAGAAACAAATAAACTTTTTTTTTTTTTTTTCAAATTTTTTGCACTTTTTTTAATTTATAGCGCAAAAAGTAAAGCGCCCAGTGGCGATTAAATACCACCAAAAGAAAGCTCTATTTGTGAGAAAAAAATGATCAAAATTTCATATGGGTACAATGTTGCATGACCGCGCAATTGTCAATCAAAGTGCGGCAGCGCTGAAAGCTGAAAATTGGCCTGGTAAGGAAGGGGGTATAAGTGCCCGGTAGGCAAGTGGTTAAACAGGCGTCCAGCAGACAGGTGATTATGAAAGGGCAACCATCTCATAGAGACATCCACGGAAGTTAACACCTCAACAGGAGCGACTTTTGAAGAGAAGGATTGAAGAAAATCGCTATGTAAGTTAGCTAAAGAAGTAGAAAGCCAAACTGGGGTGATTATTTAACCACTTCCAGTCCGGACACTTTTACCCCCTTCCTGTCCAGGGCAATTTTCAGCTTTCAGCGCTATCACACTTTGAATGACAATTGTGTCATGCAACACTGTACCCATATGAAATTTTTACCATTTTCTTGAGACAGATAAAGCTTTATTTTGGTGGTATTTATTCACCGCTGGGATTTTTATTTTTTTTTTTGCTATGTAAATGAAAATGTCCAAAAATTTTTTTAAAAAAGTGTTTTTCTTATAAAATTTTGCAAATAAATAATCTTTCATCATAAATCTTGACCAAAATTTATTCTGTTATATTTTTGAAAAAAAAAAAAAAAAAGCCAAATTAGTTTATAACCAAAAATTATAATTTTTAAACATTTTTTTAATATTTTTATTTAATTTTTTTATATTATTGTTTTTTTTTTTTTGTTTTTTTACATACTGTCACCCTAGCAGTACAGTGTCACCATGGTGACACTGTACTACTTGTGGGGTGATGATGATGATTTTTTTTTTACAGTGATTGCTTTTACACCCATATAGGATGTAAAAGCAATCATTTCTCTTTCTCTCTGTCTGCATTCTTGCAGCCATTGAGAAATACTGTGTGAGCTGTGATTGGTCACACCTTGTCACATGGTACAAGGCTGTTGTGAATAGCCCTGTACCATGTGATCTCTGTGATCATTCACAGATTTCACACGTAGTAAGCAATGATGTCACAAGTGACATCTTGCTTACTACTTTGCATGTGATCACTGATTGGCCTATCAGTTATCACATGATCGGGACCACGTACAGAGGTCCCGTCCGACGATCGGTGTTGCACTGTGTCCGGAGGACACAGCGGGCACCGGATCGCGGTGCTGCGCGCTCCCAAGGAGTGCGCACAGCTAGAAAAGGCGCGTGCCATTTATGAACGGCAACCCGCCCCTGGAGTGCCACCGTCCTGCTGTTTATAAACAGCAGGTGGACGGCAAGTGGTTAAAGTGACAATATGACATACACTGCAGAGGAATGACATGCATGGGTGTCATCCATGAAGGAAGCCTCTGCTAAAGCCCATGCACAAAAAAGCCCGCCTAGAATTTGCAAGGGTTCATGATGAAAAAGAAGACTACTGGGACTCTGCACTCTGGAGTGATGAAACCAAGATAAATGTTTTTGGAACCGATGGCTTCAAAACTGTATGGCGTTGCAAAGGTGAGGAGTACAAAGAAAAATGCATGGTGATGGCAGTGTCCATCTGTGGGGCTGCATGAGTGCTGCTGGTGTCAGGGAGCTGCATTTCCTTGACGGTATCATGAATTCACAGATGTACTGCTCTATATTGAAAGAGAAGATGTTACCATCACTCCGTGCCCTTGGCCATCGTGCATTTTTCCAACGTGACAATGGTCCAAAAAAAAAGGCCACTGTTGCATTTCTGAAGAACTGGGTGAAAGTGGCTAAGTGGCCAAGTATGTCTCCTGATCTGAACCCAATCCAACACCTATGGGGAATTCTGAAGAGACAAATGAGCATGACTCTCCATCCAGCATCCAGGCTCTAAAAGAGGTCGTTTTTGAAGAATGGAAAACAATCGATGTTGCAATATGTCGCCAACTTGTTCATTCCATGCCTAGAAGACTTGGTGCTGTCCTTACAAATCATGGAGGTCATACAAAGTACTAGATGGAAGAGTTTTTGTTGTGGGGTGGATTCATTTTTGTATCAACTAATTTGAATAAAACTGAAGATTTTGTAATTTAAATTATATTATTAACCTTACTGTCATGTAATGAGCTAAACAAATGTTCTATAAAACTCAAGTTTTTGTCACAATTTTGGAAATTGTTCTTGTATTCATTTAAATATTGATTAAAATCATACTTTTCAAAAGGGGTGTAATCATTTATGCTGAGCACTGTACATTAGAATTTCCATAGGTTCCAAATTTTCAAGAATTTTGCATTTGAGTTGCGTTAGTATTTAAATTAGCTTTTCATGGGCCATGGTTCCCATTAGCTATTGTTTGACCTCAGTAAAGTTAACCGTTTTTGGCACCAAGCATACGCAAATATGTGGCCCCACTGGACTGGGTTTTTTTCCATGGGACTGCATATTTGCTGTCTTTATACTTGAAGCACTCTGCCAGCATAGAGACTGCGATCAGGACCTGGAACTCCCAATTCCAGGTCACCTACTTGCTGAGATAGCCTCCGATTGGTATATAATCAGTCTTTGTGAAGCCCACCTCCGTGTTTTCCCTCTCTGAATGGAGGAGAGAGGTACATTGTATCTCTCACTTTCCTTGCAGAGAGGGGAAGAAAAAGACAACCGTGTGTAAAAAAAAAACAAAAAAAACCTATATAGAGGTTATTGTTTGGGCCAAGGTCATGGTCAGTATTTTTTGGGGCAGGATTACTAATTTATTTTTTAAATTAGTGTCAGTGTGTTTTAGGTACGATAAAAAATAAAAATAAAAATGAGCACTATTGTTTCTGGGCTGTACTACGGGTATAAACAATAACTAACATACACATACACTATATTGCTAAACATATTGGGCCAGCCCTCCAAATAATTGGATTCAGATGTTCAAATCACCTCTATGGCCACAGGTGTATAAAATCAACTCCTAGGCATGCAGACTGCTTCTACAAACATTTGTGAAAGAATGGGTCGCTCTCAGGAGCTCAGTGAATTCAAGTGTGGTTCTGTGAAATTTCCTTGCTACTAAATATTCCATGGTCAACTGTTACTGGTACTGTAACAAAATGGAAGCAAGTGGGATGAACAGCAACTCAGCCATGAAGTGGTAGGCCACATAAAATGATAAAGCAGGGTCAGTGCATGCTGAAGCGCACAGAAGACGCCAACTGTCTGCAGAGTCAATAGTCAAAGACCTCAAAACTTGGTGTGGCCTTCAGATTAGCACAACAGGGTGTAGAGAGCTTCATGGAATGGGTTTCCATGGCCGAGCAGCTGCACCCAAACCTTACATCACCAAGTGCAATGCAAAGCGTCAGATGACGTGGTATAAAGCACGCCACCACTGGACTCTAGAGCAGTGGAGACATGTTCTCTGGAATGACAAATCACGCTTCTCTGTCTGGCAGTTGGATGTATGTGTCTGGGTTTAGCAGTTGCCAGGAGAACGGTACTTGCCTGACTTGTGCCAAGTGTAAAGTTTGGTGGAGGAGGATTAAGGTGTGGGGTTGTTTTTAAGGGGTTGGGCTTGACCCCCTATTTCCAGTAAAGGGAACTCTTAAGGTGTCAGCATACCAAGACATTTTGGACAATTTCATACTCCCAACTTTGTGGGAAGAATTTGGGGATGGCCCCTTCCTGTTCCAACATGACTGCACAAGCAAGGTCCATAAAGACATGGAGGAGCCAGTTTGGGATGGAGGAACTTGACTGGCCTGCACAGAGTCCTGACCTTAACTGGATAGAACATCTTTGGGATGAATTAGAGCGGAGACTGTGAGCCAGGCCTCCTCCCCCGACATCAGTGCCTGACCTGACAAATGTGCTTCTGGAAGAATGGTCCAACCTTCCCATAGACACCCTCCTAAACCTTGTGGACGGCCTTCCCAGAAGAGTTGAAGCTGTTATAGCTGCAAAGGGCGGGGCCAACTCAATACTGAACCCTACAGACAGACTGGGGGGCCATTAAAGTTCATATGTGTATAAAGACAGGTGGCCCAATAATTTTGGTAATATAGTGCATGAGGAGCAGGACAATTTTTTTGAGGGTTATTCTTTGGTGGTAGGTTATGGTAGTAGCAAGAAATATACAGGTAAATTAAAAAATATATATATTTTTACTAGTCTGGGACAGTTTTCCTTTGATAATAATTTACAAAATCAGGAGATATCCATGATCATTTACCACCAAATAAAAGCCAATATGTCCTGAAAAAAAAACAAGGTGTAATCCACCAGAATGCACAAAGTAATTGTAATAATATGTACCGTGTTCCCAGGACATGTCAAATTAGCACATTTACATTTGCATTAACATTTGTTTTACCCTTAGGAGCGAAGGGGTTAAGGAACGGTTGGTGTCAAGCCTTTGCAAGAGTCTGCCGGGCTGCCTTTTTTATTTTATTTTTAACTGGCAATCCTGCCAGTAACACACGTCCTGTCTTAGAGTGACAACACTCTGTATTAGATCTATGGAAGAGCAGAGTTGTCACCCTAGGACAGAAAGTGCGTTAGGGCTATTGAACACCTTCCTGTGTCCCCATTTCAGTTACATAGGGGAGGTGTTAAAACAAAAATCCAGGATAAACAAATATTATCTAAATACTTTCATCATGTATGCCCTTCCTTGAATCTTGGTGTACTTTGTGTATTTTTTCCAGATCTGTGCAGTAATCCCGTGTGAGACTTTACCTGTGGAGGAGCTTCCTGCTGCTCTCTGTCTTTGCATCCACTCCCTCCTGTAGTTTTCATCAGTCATGGCCAAAAATATTGTTCCCCCTACATTTCTGTCAGATAATGCACCGCTTCTCCCAGAAAATTGTTGCAATTACAAGTGTTTCGGCATTCTCTTGTTTTTTCTTTTGTTTGTATTGGTAGGACACAAAAAAGTAGAGAAATAAAAAGCCAAATCTGACACATTCCATGTAAAACTCCAAAAATGGACTGGGCAAATTTATTGGCACCTTCTTAAAATTGTAAAAAATAATTGTATTCCAAGTTTGTGACGTTCCTGTAATTTGTCATTAAACTCCTCCCCTGAATCAATTAATAGGTGCTGACAATATAGAAATCACACCGGCAACCAGTTAAAATCGTGAAACAATGACTCAACCTTTCTGTTGTGTGTGTCTTTGTGCCAGATGGATCATGGAGAAAAGAAAGAGCAGCAAAGAATTGTCTGAGGATTTGATAACAAAAATTGTGGAAAAGCATGGACAATCTCAAGGTTGTAAGTTCATCTCCAGAGATCTTAATGTTCCTCTGTCCACTGTGTGCAACATTGTCAAGAAGTTTACTGCCCCCGGCATTTTAGCAAAGCTCACTAGACGTGAAAGAAAGAGAAAAATTGATCAGAGATTGCAAAGAATGATTGTTTGAATGGTGGATAAAGAGTCTTGATCAACTTCCAGACAAATCCAAGCTAAACGTCAGGCACCGAGTACAACTGTGTCAGCTTGCACTATACGTAACCATCTGAATGAAAAGGGACGCTATGGTAGGAGGCCCAGGAGGACCCCACTGCTGACACAGAAATATGGTAGGAGACCCAGGAGGACCCCACTGCTGACACAGAAATATGGTAGGAGACCCAGGAGGACCCCACTGCTGACACAGAAATATGGTAGGAGACCCTGGAGGACCTCACCGCTGACACAGAAATATGGTAGGAGACCCAGGAGGACCTCACCGCTGACACAGAAACATGGTAGGAGACCAAGGAGGACCCCACCGCTGACACAGAAATATGGTAGGAGACCCAGGAGGACCCCACTGCTGACACAGAAACATCAAAAAGCCAGATTGAAGTTTACCAAAACCTACCTAAGGAAGCCAAAATCCTTTTGGGAGAATGTGCTGCGGACAGACAAAACAAAATTCCAGCTTTTTGGTAAATCCCATCATTCCACTGTTTGCAGAAAAAGCAATGAGACCTTTAAAGAAAATGATCCAGTCCCTCCAGTCACACATGGAAGTTCACTTATGTTTTGGGGTTGCTGTGCTGCTTCAGGCACTGGATGTCTTGACGGTGTGCATGGCATTATGAAATCTGAAGACTACCAAACAAATCTGGAGTGCAATGTAAGGCCCGGTGTCAGAAAGTTGGGTCTCCGTCAGAGGTCATGGGTCTTCCAGCAGGACAATGACCCAAAGCACACATCAAAGACCACCCAGAAATGGTTTTAGACAAAGCGCTGGAGAGAACTGAACTGGCCAGCAATGAGTCCAGATCTCAATCCCATAGATCTCCTGTGGAGAGATCTCAGAACAGCAGTTTGGAAAAGGAACCTTCCAATCTGAGGGACCTGGAGCAGTTGGCGAAAGAAGAGCGCTCCAAAATTCCAGTAGAGAGGTGGAAGAAACTCATTGATCAGGAAGCCATTGATGTCAGTTATTTTTTCCAAGGAGTGTGCTACCAAATATAAATTGAGGGTGCCAATAATTTTGTCCAGTCCATTTTTGGGGTTGTGTGTGGAATGTGTCAGATTTGGCTTTTTGTGGTATAACAATACAAAGAAATAAACATGAGAATGCCTAAACATTTGTAATTGCAATAATTTTCTGGGGGAAGTGGTGCATTAGCTGACAGAAATGCAGGAGTACCAATATTTTTAGTCATGAACTGTGTATATATACATATACACACACACACACACACACATACATACATACATGCACATACAGTGTCTTGAAAAATTATTCATACCCCTTGAAATGTTCCACATTTTGTCATGTTACAGCCAAAAACGTCAATGTATTTTATTGGGATTGGATGTGATAGACCAACACAGAGTGGCACATAATTGGGAAGTTGAAGAAATGAGAAATGGTTTTCAACATTTTTTTAAAAATACATCTTTGAAAAGTGTGGCAGCATTTGTATTCATCCCCCGGAGTCAATACTTTGTAGGACCCCCTTTCGCTGCAATTCCAGCTGCAAGTCTTTTTGGGGATGTCTCTACCAGCTTTGCACATCTAGAGAGGGACATTTCTGCCCATTCCTCTTTGCAGAATCGCTCAAGCTCTGTCAGATTGGATGGAGAGCGTCTGGGAACAGCAATTTTCAAGTCTTGCCACAGATTCTCCATTGGATTTCGGTCTGGACTGTGACTGGGCCATTCTAACACATGAATATGCTTTGATGTAAACCATTCCATTGTAGCTGTGGCTGGATGTTTCGGATCGTTGTCCTGCTGGAAGGTGAACCTCCTACCCAGTCTCATGTCTTTTGCAGACTAACAGGTTTTCTTCTAAGATTGCCCTGTATTTGGCTTCATCCATCTTCCCATCAACTCTGACCAGCTTCCCTGTCCCGGCTGAAGAAAAGCATCCCCACAACATGATGCTGCCACCACGTTTCACGGTGGGGATGGTGTGTTCAGGGTGATGTGCAGTGTTAGTTTTCCCCCACACACAGCGCTTTGCTTTTAGGCCAAAAAGTTAAATTTCGGTCTCATCTGACCAGAGCCCCTTCTTCCACATGTTTGCTGTGTCCCCCACATGGCTTCTCACAAACTGCAAACGGGACTTCTTATGGCTTTCTTTCAACAATGGCTTTCTTCTTGTCACTCTTCCATAAAGGCCAGATTTGTGGAGTGCACGACTAATAGTTGTCCTGTGGACAGATTCTCCCACCTGAGCTGTGATCTCTGCAGCTCCTCCAGAGTTCCCATGGGCCTCTTGGCTGCTTCTCTGATGAATGCTCTCCTTGCCCGGCTGGTCAGTTTAGGTGGACGGCCATGTCTTGGTAGGTTTGCAGTTGTGTCATACTCTTTCCATTTTTGGATGATGGATTGAACAGTGCTCTGTGAGATGTTCAAAGCTTGGAATATTTTTTTTTTATAACCTAACCCTGCTTTAAAATTTTCCACAACTTTATCCCTGACCTGTCTGGTGTGTTCCTTGGCCTTCATGATGCTGTTTGTTCACTAATATTTTCTAACATACCTCTGAGGGCTTCACAGAACAGCTGTATTTATACTGAGATTAAAATACACACAAGTGGACTATTTACTAATTAGGTGTGTACTGAAGGCAATTGGTTCCACTAGATTTTAGTTAGGGGAATCAGAGTAAAGGGGGCTGAATACAAATGCATGCCACACTTTTCAGATATTTATTTGTAAAAAATGTTTGAAAACCATTTATCATTTTCCTTCCAGTTGTCAATTATGTGCTACTTTGTGTTGGTCTATCACATCAAATCCCAATAAAATACATTTACATTTTTGGTTATAACATGAAAAAAATTTGGAAAATTTAAAGGGGTATGAATACTTTTTCAAGCCACTGTATATATATTTATATAAATAATGTTTGGGGGTTCAAAAGTAATTTTCTAGCAAAATAATTGCAGCGTTTAACACGTAGGAGAAAAATGTCAGAATTGTTTTGATAGGCAAATGGTTAATGGAGCAGACACCGAACTTGATTTTGCTGCTCAGCATGTGCTTGTACGGAGCACCCAAGTGCTTCTGTG